ATTTCTTGTTGGGTAATTGTAACACTTTGAATTAGTTTCAAACTCAGACTACTTTTTTTTTACAAAAAGTAGGCAATTATAAATGGGTCTACAGGAATATCTGTATGCCGAAGACCATACTACATACGTATTTCCCTTTTTTGACAGATGAATGCTCGATTGATGACCTATTGATTTTGTAGAAATTCATATCGAATATAGGATAAATCATATAACTTTTGTCAGGTTTCTACCAAGATTTCCATTNGTTTGAAGTCAGTTCCAGCCATGTTTCAGAGAGTTATAGATAACGTTTCAAACTGCCCACCAAGCAAAATTTGTCTCACATATATGGACGACATAAGTGTATACTTCTATACTTCAACTTCATTGCAGGAGCATATGATCACTCTCTCCAAAGTCTTCGAAAGGTTCAGGGAAATATATGTAAAGGTTTTTGCTAGACACATCAGAGTTTTTGCAAAAGGACATAGCATTTTCGGGACACATCATCACTCCAGAAGGTATTCGATCAAATCCACAAAAAAATTAAGCCATCTCAAAGTATCCTATACCCCGAACAACCAAAAAAATAAAGGGATTTTTAGGACTCCTAGAATACTAGAGAAAATTCATCAAGGACTTCGTGAAAATAACCAAACCACTCAGCTCCTGTCTTAAGAACAACTAGAGAATTAAACATATACCGAAATTCATAATTTTTTTTGAAACATGCAGAAATTTGCGGCAATATAGTCGCTGGAGATGCCATATCCTCTGGGAATTCATCCTCCAAATCCGACAGAAATGAGACCACAATGACTGTTACTAGAATCATCCATTATATTCAGCAGATTCACGTGGCTATTAAGTCTACGTTTCGAACAGTGTAACGGGCATACAACTTCATATTCAATTCTACCATTTCTGAAACTATTTTCCAAACCATAAACATTGATAGAGCAATCTTTATATCCTCAAATTCAGGAATATCTTTCAAATTAACCGGAAAATCCATATCTGCTATATTCATCACGATGGAGAAGCGAATGAAATTTCACAAGTTAGAAAGCTGAAGTCACAGCCCACGAAAAGCAGTTTCTACTCATCCTGATTGACAAAATTCACAACACTTTCCTTCAACTCGATGAATTATGGTTACTTGATATAAGAAGACCTTCCAAGGAGTCTACACTCTTTGCTTGAAGTTGGTTGACAATGTTTCGTGGTGTATTTCATCAGTTCGGACTTCCATTGTCTAATATAATATAAATTGATTTGAAATCCCTGAAAAAANTGATCCCGATCTTGAAATTCCGCTGCTTTAACAGTTAAACTCTCCTTTGCTTGCACCTCGAACACATTGGTTTTTCATCTCCATCCAGAGTTTCCTCTCTTGTGAAAGAATCCAAGCAATGTGACAAACTCACTTAGCCAGATCTTTGTGGTTTGGGAAGGGACAAATCCCAGAAAGGATCAAAGATTACTGATTATTCTCCGAATAATCTAAAATTTGGCACACATATCAAAGACCAATGAAAATATAAGAATTTCCAAATATTTGAAGTTGAATAAGTGTATGCGTATGTTATATGGATACTCATTAGTTGCTATTTAAGTTTTTCTATATTGGGAAATTTTTGTAAACAAAATCCCTCAGAAATGCCAACAATTTTCTAAATACTTAAAGTCATACTCATTGCAAGGTATTAAATCTGTTGGTTATAATGTTATAAATAGTTACCTACACATTCCTTTCAAAAATCAGGTGATTTTGATATGCACGCACTTATTCAACTTAAAATATCTTGAAAAGCGTTGATATTTGTGAAACGAAACTCATCCCTTTTTTGTGTGAGAAATATTCGGGATTAAGAAAAAGAAGACGAAATCGATATTAATCCAGTGGCGTAAAATTTAGGGAGGGGCGACTAGGGGCACCCACCTGCCGTACGCTCCTGTTTGAAGTTACGAACACATGATTTGTATTGAAATTTGGAACTGAATGCTGTCATGTTACATACCAAATTTCATATATTTTTTGTCACTTTCAACACCCAGTAACTCGGTTATTATTCATCTTAGGGTATATGTTTATTGGAACTTTTAGCCCTAAAATTAAGTGAATATTCCACCATCAGAGTTTGTCCCCTATTTTGTGGGACACCCTGTATATGGCCATACAAATTTTACCAACGAGGAATACAATCTGATACACTAAACAAAAATTCTGTCAATTGCACAGAAAATCATATCGATAATTCAATAAACAATCCACAGGAATATAGACAGAATTTCCCATAAGAGGTGACCGACTTTCAACAACTTTTTTGGCCAACCCTGTAGACACACAAACGAAATAATTCTTCTAAAAAGTTCGATCAGATTCGTCTGAAGAAAATAAAATCCAGAAATCAACAGAAAATACACATGTGTAGACAAATTTCTTGATATATATTAGACATTCAATGCTTTTTGTGGCTCGCCCTGTCCAGTTACAAAAAACTTCTACGAACTAAAATTGTTTTTCTTGATCACTAAAATAATACCTATATCTAAAAATTTAGAAAACCTGACGACCTACAGAATTGCATGTATCAAGAGTCATGTCCTTTTCAGCATTCTCGTTCGACAACGTTTAATGAGATATTTCACCATTTAGCAAAAGCACACTTGCGAGACAAATTATAATGAACACAAAAGATTAGGATGTAATGTTAACATATGTCTTGAGGAATGCAAAGTGATACGAGATCCACAATAATGCCAAATTTACCGGATCTCAGGTTTACCGTAAAATGCATATTGAGCTGATACCGGTATATATATTACTGCCACACCCTCTGTAGGCAACATCGAGGAACTTCTGAAGTATAAAATTGCATAAAATGGGTCCAATGTAAGATCCCAACAAAAATTCAATCATGCCTTTCCCCACCCTTCCTACACCTGATGAACTCTATATACACCTTGAAAAATGGATATCTACTTGTATGTTTTATATCTTGGAAGGATCTCTGCTTTACTTTGCCAAGTTTTCGCTTCTAATGGGAAGCTTCTTCAAGGCAGTAAAAATGAGTGAAAAACATTAAATTGAAGATATAAATTGACGTTAAAGTTAACATGTATAAAACCCACAAAAAAATCGTATACATGTTAACTTTTACGTCAATTTATATCTTCAATTTATTGTTTTTCACTCATTTTTACTGTCCTGAAGAAGCTTCCCATTAGAAGCTCCCTAACTATATTATTAAAGAGGAACTGCTGGAAGTTAGGGTGCACTATATCGTTTCCTTGAACTATACGTAATATACTATTAAACTGTGGAATTGAAATGTGGCGTACATTGGGATCACTTGTTATCACTCACAATGTGAAATGCACAAAAAACTATTAAATGATTTGATGTCTGAAAGATCCTTAGTTTGCAGACTGTACCGCCCAAACACTTCCATGTTCACTTTCATGCATTTATGGATATCCAACACTTCTTCGAGTAGTTTCACTACTTTCTGCTTAATTTCATTGAAGAATGTTGGGTAATCCATGTGGTGGTTTTCACTGTCCACTCGGTAGCTCACAATTCGACACTTGAAAGCTGTATTGACAATTTTCACACCTTCCCCATATTGAACACATGCATTTGTTCTGTGCTGCAACGTCCTCCGATGTACATTCATCTGATCGCTTGCAATAGTCAAATTGCAGCAAACGCATGTTTGCAGTGTTGGAAGTGCTGGGGGTGTCAACCGTTGCCTCTTCGATGTTGGAGGTCCATCACCATTTGCGGGTGTGCAGGAATCCCGCTGATGACGACGTAGGTTGTCACTACGAGTGAAACTTTTTTTACAATCAACGCACGAATATATCTTGTATATAGAAATATCTACCGTACGATAAGGAGAATTTGAAATGAGTGAAACGTTCACACCACGTTTGCCGTTAGCAAACCCGTGAATGAAATGCATCTGAGTTAATTCGGCGTTGTTCATAATTATTTGATCAAGTAGTATTCAGCTCCCAAAACTATTTTACAATCAATGTGACTTCTTCTGGAATGAAGATCAAAATTCAGAGATAACCGCTACTTTTCATTCCCGAATCAAGAATCTTTATAACAAGTACTATTAGAAGTTCTCACCACCAGTGTATTCCTCGCATTCCTCATTTATTTGACAAACGATCAGTCTTATCGTTACGCGATACAGGTGATTTTTCGCATAAACATAGATCTAGAAGAGTTGATGTGCTAGTGGAGGTTTACTCCCGCATAAATTTCATCTTCTATGTAATTACCGTGAAATTTGACTTATTGTCATGTTAATTTTTTTCTCTCAAAACCTGAGTACGACTCAGCAAAAACTACTCACAGAGCCATAACTACCGATCAACCTGATCCTGATAAACAACTTGAATAAAACTAGTGGCACACAATGATTTGTACCATAAATATCAATCAGGTCTCCCTCTACAATGCCACTGAAAAAATTTTCCCAAATGTGATTCCTTCTAAAGAATCCCTTCCTTACTGCTATCAAACCTACCAAGCTTCCTGACCAAATAATATAGATTCGCTTCTTCATAAAAATACCCTGTTATTCGAAAAACGAAGAGATTGAGGGCATAATAGATGTTAATATGATCCTTTTCATTTAATATGACAAGGAATTCCCCTCCAAAATTGAAGGTATCACTCAAGTTACCCCTGTTCATTAAACTTGACAAAGAATTCACAATTTCATCTTCATCGAGATTGATGTATTCTTGAAAATGCTGCCAAACAAAACAGTCATAAAATTGTTGAACCTCCAGTGATTCACATTCTTTAGGATGGAATGTACATCGAACTAGATGAAGTTTTAACAACATTTCTTTCATCATCATCATCGATATTAGTGGGTTCTTTAAAATACATCCAAACAAAAAGTCATAAAAATTGTCTAACCTCAACAATTTAGATGCATTCGTGTTAATGTTCAGATGAACACGATTGCCAGATACAATTCGGTGTGCAAAATTCAAAAATGGATTAAACAAAGCAGGGGATCTTTACCTTTACCTGGTATGGTCCTGGCAAAGCCATCATTTTTACCAACAACATACTTGTTGCACAAAATCGAACTGTTATCCAACAATATTGGATCCAGTTCTATTTCGATGTCTCGCAAATGTCGCTTTCTGTCCAATGAGTGTCCTCTATGTTGAACATGGTTTCCTTGAAACTGGGAGGATGTGGTTGAAATGTGACTTATTTTCCGATTGTTAGAATTTTCTGAATCTCTGTTCCATTTGCTGGACCGCGGCCTTGGCACGCTGGAACTACGGCAACCAGATCCTCCATTGTATCTGAAATTTCAATCCACTTTTTGATAAGGAAAATGGTCATTGAAGTTACAATCCACCTCATGATGTCGTTTAACATATAAATATATAAATGAAACATGGTCGAACCATCAACCTGTCTATTTTGAAGACTTATTTCGATTTTCACTTCTCCAATTCGGGGCTCCTCTTCGAAACTAATATCTTCGCTACGAATTCCCACAAATCAACGTCGAACAGTGCATTCATCAATATTATCATTGCCAAATGCTTGCTATTAAGCAAAACATTAGTTTTGGAGTGTTTCGGTAGCGCTGTGGTTCAGTTTGACTTCGTTGAGAAAGATAGGGGCCAAAAATTGACCAACGACATCATACAGCAATAAGCTTATAAGAGTCAAACATTTGAAATTCGAACAAAAATAGCAGCATCAATATCTAGAGTATAAAACTCTCTATCGATCGGTATATATCACGACACTGCAGAGTAAATATTCATTGAGATATGGAGCTACAAAAACACATGACATCAAAACGCACAAAACTTTTGAAACGGCCTAATATATTCACAGAATTAAACTCCAAACAATCAATTAATCTTATTTTGCCAGCTACTAATATTGTTGAAACTCAATCCGTCCGAGTGCAGAACCAACTGGTGAATATCGGATATGTGCCAAATGAAAATATTCAAACAACTTCAAAATTAATCCGATTACTTTAATATCTGTCATTTCAATGGTATCCATTAGGAAAGTTTTCTGTCAGAAAGTTTATTATTGCATTCCTCGAAATGTTTCGCTAATACAGTAGCTTTATCAACAGTGATTTCAATGTTGATAAAGTTACTATGTTAGCGAAACATATATTTTTCAAATAAAGTTTGTGGAGATCAAATCGTAAGGTGTAGATTATGAAATAAAATTGAAATTGAAAAATTGGAAAAATCCACTTCTTTGTTTTTCAGGTGGCAGAAAAGATATGGAAAAATCATTCAACTACGATGATGCATTTTCAAATTGTTCTGAATTCCTCATCTTCGAGGCAAACCAACGTCGAACAGTGCGTTAATTAGGACTATTATTGCCAAATGCCTGGTTTCAATTTACCGGGCTGTTTCGGCGGTGCTTTGGTTCATTTTGAATTCGTAGAGAAAAATTTGCCGTAAATCGCTTAATGCTTCCAATATGTTATAGTAATTGGAATCTTAATGACTTCTATCACCTAACTGATAATATTTTATTGTTTCTGAAAACGAAATCATTGAGGTAAATAAACATTTAATAAAAACAAAAACTACCTGGGCCTCAGATTGATTACCATAATGAAAATTTATTCTAATCACCTATTTCATTATTACAACACAAATTCAACGAATTATAATTTGTGAAGTCTTCTCGAACACTGGCTGATTGTTTTGAATTTTTGAATGTTTCGATTTGTAAGCATTTCAAAGTATCAAAATTAAAATATTAGTTTCTCGAATATAACACTTCATAGTCATGATGGAACTTGTGATCCAGTGTTTAGAATCTTTGGTGTAGTAATGAGTAGATATTACTGGAGTTCTATCCCAACATCAAACTGTTATTTCCAACATCGCGACACGTGTTTCAATCACCAAGTAATCATCTCCAAGAGGAAAATGAAACTTAATCTACATACATTGTTATACTTATTTAAACATTTAAAACATAGATAACTCTAATAGGTGAATGGCTCACTAAATAATTTAAAAGCTTGCCTATTGCGGAACCAGGTTTCATTATCAAAAACCCCTTCGTGCAGTATACAAGAGTTGAGAATTTAGTTTTCTTCAATGTTAGTTCTGTATTTTCTAGCGTCCCAATTCCACAGACCTTACAATACCTCAGGGAATTACTCGAGAAAAATAATTTCGATAATAACGAAATTAATGAATTCGTTTCTATAACTAATTGGTGTATGGAACAAAACCGTTTTCAGGTAGATGGTTGCTTTTATGAACAACAGGAGGGAGCGGCTATGGGTAACCACTTTATACCCCTACCTGGCTAACCTATTGATGGTCAAATTTGAAATGGATATTCGATAACGAAAAATTAAATTTTCCACAAACCATCTTACACGGACATTATCATACATAATTCCTCCACACACCCTTACCAGCATAAAGTTGCTGCATTCAATAGTATGCTTCACATACTATAGAATACCCCACTGTCTGAGAGTAAATTCCTAAGATAGCTGACTTTGATGACTTTTGATCGCAGTCAACAACAGTTATAAGATAGCTATTATAAACTCCATTCTTTCCAAAAAGTACAAGAGCAAGCCACGGACAAAGTCAGTGCTTCAACAAACCCCGTCAATTTTCTTTACCCAAGCTATGATTTCCATTCCAGATTCAGAAGTAACTTTGGAATATCTCTTTTTATCAGAAGCGGTTATGTAGTTTAAAATAATATCACAAGAGATCACCAAATTCATATGCTACGTTTATCGATCACCTAGCGATACACAATTTCAAACACTATTCTCTTCACTTACAAACACTATTTACTTTCTGCAAATAAATCATCCCAGTGCCGAAATTTCCATATTTGGTGACCTCAATGTCTACAATATCGATTGGCTCAAATTTTCATATATCACCGACAAACAGGGTCGCGAAGCTGAGGCTTTTGCAGTAAGCAGCGGACTTACTCAGATTCTGAATGAGCCAATCAGGATTCCTGACCTTGATGCAGAATATATGCTAGTCTATACCTAACAGCCTATCCAAAAATTTATACAGTAACCGTAAGGTCTCCTTTGGAGTCTTCTGATCACAAACTCATTTCAATGTTGAGTGGATTAGCGATGAATGTTGGGGAACACTCTAGGCCGCACAGAGTTTGGCATTACTGATCAGCTGAAAGGGAAGATCTTCAAGATCATTTCTGAAATTTTACCTGTCTAGATGATTTTTTCAGATATAAAAATCTAGATGATTTTTTCAGATATAAAGATCCATCAACTTGTGCTTCTGAATTCATGAAAGTTATTCTATCATCATCTTGAGCGATCATCAATATGACTTTCGGAAACAAAGATCAACAGGCGACCTCCTATTGATGTCATCCATATTTGCAATAACGCAATCGAGAAACATGGAGAAACCAAAGCTGTTGCGCTTGATATTTCTAAGGCCTTTGACTGGCTCTTCAGCTTCCTGAAAGAACGTTCCCTGCAAGTGGCCGTCGATGGATATCTCTCGAATACTTCCACCATCAACGCAGGTATTCTCCAGGGATCCATATTGTCTCCATCCCTCTTTTTATTGTATATCAACGACTCATTGGAAAAAAACCAAGATCCAGTATATTGCTCAGCTGACGACAGCAAACTTGTCTCATTCCATTTGGATTCCAGGACACATCTTCACCGGCAGTAGGAGGGTGCATATCTCAATAAGGATCTAGAAGTGATATCGAATTAGGGTGAAAGTAACCAGGTTCAATTCAATGCCACAAAAATCCAGGCATCGGTTTTCTCCGAGAAGATAAATGTCTCCGAACCGGATATAATAATGTCAGGTTAGACAATTTCGCTTTCTGCTTCAATAAGTTTGTTGGGGGTTGAAATGGACACCAATATGTCTTGGCATAATCATGTCACTGGAATTACAAAGGCTGCTCCCTTGGAACACTGTTCCAAACTAGGAAACTGTACACACCTCAGCAACTTTTGATGATTTATAAAACTCAGATCAGACCTTCTTTGGAGTATTGTTCTCATGTATGGAGCTCTGCTCCTAAACATACCCTGAAGTTGCTGGATTCCATCCAGAAAATAGCCATCCGTCATATTGGAGACGCGAACATCACGTGCAACCTTGATAGCCTGGAACATCGAAGGAAAGTTGGAGATTTGTCTCTCTTCTATATATACTTTCACGGGAAGTGTTCAAGTGATTTGGCACATTTGATTCCACCAAGAGCGGTATATATCAGAAATACGCAACGGACTGTGGCTGCTCATCGTTTTGAGGTTCAACTCAGTACACCTCGAACTCCACTGTTTAGGAACTCTTCCATCTGGAGAACTGCGTTTATGTGGAATACACTTCCTGGGAACGTTTTTCAAAATGAATTCAATCTCCAGGGATTTGAATCCAATGTGTGCTACTGTCGCACAGGCATCGCTCTAACAGTGCTGTTAGGATTTTCATGCACTGCCTGTAATGCATCAGGGTCATAGGCGCCTCGCGGCAGGTCTGCTCCTTTTATCAGGAAACTCTATCCCATCACGTGACTGCAGTAGACTGAGGTATTGAAGACACCATCTTGGCAGGCCATGACGATCCCCTCATTTCTTAACTTCAGCCCACTCGATAAGCCGAGGTCTTCAATGTCGTTGAATAGGATCATGAACTGGCCTATCCTTGTATTGCCGCAGGAGTGAAGTGATCTCCACGGCTTTCATATGGGTCTTTTTCAAGACGGGTCCCAACTCGGTTACAATTGTGATAACCTTGTTCAGTGTCGAAAAACTTAACCAAGTTTATCAGCCGATGCGCAGTTGCTCTTAAGAGAAATGATCCAACTACGGCTCCTGCTGTTTACAACTGTGACGATGTTTCCAAGTGGATTTCGGGTGTAAAAACGGGTTACTTTGTAAGCAAAATCTAAGAATACGATAAGTAACTAATTTGACACTTCGTTGGTTTATATTACGCAGTACGTTTCGGTGCGAACTTATCAGTTTGTCCTTCATTACAGTCCAGCAGATTCTCTATTGATTCAGCTTTATTAATTTTTCAGATAATGGATACAGAACAAACGATATAGCGTTGACTCCTCCTAAAAAATGTCTTTCAGAGAATAGTTAGACGATATAATCAGATTCGAGTACCACTTGTCTACTTGGCAGTTTGAACCTGCATTGATTGATATCAAAAAATTTCGATATAATAATGAACGCTTCACTACAAGCTTTTCAATGCATGTTTTTCTTCTGCTTATTTTCTTTCTTTGCAACTATTTTATATAAATCAAGCTGAACAAATATTCGAGAAAATCTTCTGTATCCTGTTTTGAGAAACTTAAATATGAAAGAGATGATTTACCTCAAATCTGTATCAGAATGAGAGGATGGTCGAACATCCGACAAACCAAAACCGCTGTCAGCAGATCTTGTAGATGTCCTCATAGATCTTCTGAACGATGCATTTCGTGATCTTGAGAATCTGCTGCCACTAAAACAAATCTGAATTAAAATATGATGCTGTGAAATAATTCCTTGCATCAAATATTGCAAGGTACATTGTATTAAGGAATACTTGAATACTCCAATGAGTTAATTGTTGACGTGATTCAGAAATATATTTAGGTTTTTTCTGGACTCAATCCTATATAGTTTCGTCTTTCTCTTCTTCTTCATGTCGTGAATGAGATCAGAAAATCAAACTGCTGCACTGCGCGTTTAGAATTAATGTGAACAAATACTTCTCTCCAAAATGGATAATTCAGGACTGACTAAAAATTCTACAAAACAATGTACGCAATATTGTACTATCAAAACCAATATGTGAATATGCAGAGCAGTTATAAGCTCTTCCTCCAAATAACATTTTTGTAGAATCGAGTCGGATACATATAATTCTTTTTTTTTTGATGAGGTAACATTTTTTCCGTTAAAAACGAGATCAATTTCTGTAAAAAAAGTGGAAGGCATGAAGGTGCATTGTAGGTTGATCAGTGTCAAAAAATCAATTAAAGAACGAGAAATAATTATCATTTTGCCTTTTCCCAACATGTTGTATTTCAGATTCGTTATCACAACATCAAAAATCGTGTATTGAAACACATTTTATCTAATAAGTAGTTCATTTCGCCCGCTACCATGCTATGAGTGTATTTACGAAATCTTTCAGTCTCAATACATGACATCCATTTTACATGAATTCCTGTCGGACATATTTTGATATTATACAGTGTGGCCGTTTCAAATTGAAAATATCCTCTGAAAGTTTCATTCATTAACACCCACCATTTTTTTCATCTATCAATCAAATGAAGAACTACTGAACAAAATTCAAAATGATCATTTCAATTCTCATGACATACTACGATATTTTTTCGTCCAAAATGGAGACTAAGCTACGGGATTCAGAATGCTTTCATATAACTGGGTCCAAATTTTCACAAAAATGTATTTATTTATAACGACGACATGAAACTCCAAAATGGAAAACTCAGGAAGCTAAAAAAAATATCATCCTGTTTCGATAAGTTGTAAAAATGAACCACCACGCTATGAACAAAAAGTTCCACATTACAGGCAATTAGGTAATTATTATCAATAATAATAATAATAATAATTTATTTCCAATAGAAAACAACAACATCTCTTCAAATGAGAGAGTGGATTGGAATAAAATGTAAACCCTTCAGAACACTTTCCAACCCCTTGCAGAACAGCCCTCGTCATACGTACGAAATTCATTTCACTTCATTGAAATCCTCAAAAACCTCAACATCCAACAGGCTGACATCCTTGTGAGTTTCGACGTAGTGTCTTCATTAACTAATATTCCTGTATCAGACACAATGAACATTTTCGAAAAGAAACACCAAATTTCCAAAAGAACCCTCAACCTCATCAGTCACTGTATGTTCAGCACATACTTCCTCTTTCAAGATACTTTCTACAAACAAATGAAGGGCTCTCTTCTTTCACCAGTCCTTGCAAACCTTTTCATGGAAGATTTCGACACCAAGGCTATTGACAGGTTCGACCACAAACCTTCTTGCTGGTTCAGATATGTAGATGACGTTTTTGTCATATGGCCCCACGGCTCCGAAACTCTCCATAATTTTCTTTATTACCTCAACGACCTCCACCCAAATATAAAATTCAAAATTGAAACCAATAACTTCTATTCCCAGATGTCCTCATCACAAAATCCAATAACTCCTTCACCCACACGGTCTACAGGAAACCAACACACACAAACAGATACCTCATCGCAAACTCCCACCATCATCCAGCACAAACCAACTCCGTTTCGAATTCTCTCATCCATAGATCTATCACCCTCACGGACCACCACAACAAATCACAAGAGCTAGCCCAACTCAAATCAGCTCTCCTTCAAACTGGATTCACAGACCATCAAATTGACAGATCCAACCGTCGCCAACAAACTTCTTCGTCCAAATCCAAAGATCCAAAAGACAACAACTTTCCCCACAAAGTTTTTCTCTACATTAAAGGTGTAACTGACAAAATTGGCCGAATTCTCAAAAAACAGGACATAAAAACGATATTCACCGCCAACAATCAAATTTTCACATTCCTTTGTTCTCCCAAGGACAAAATTATCAATGAATTCCAAGGTATATATGAAATTCCATGCTCCGATTGAGATAGAACAGATGTAGGCCAGACCAACAGAGGTGTGACAAGTAGAATATACGAACATCAACCTGCTGTCCGAAAATCGAACCCATCCTCAGCCTTATCAAAACATTATCAAGAGACAGGACACAACATAGAATTTGCGAACACTAAGACCATCGCCACATCGCCAAGCTCGGATAATTCGCGAGGCCATCGAAATCGAAAAGCGACCTTTTTGCCTGAACAAACGTGATAACGGTCAAAGACTTCCAACTGCCTGGAAACCCCTAATTTCACGATGCTCACCCCCCACCAAGACGTCCGGTGATGATAATCACCCGAAGCCCCGCCCTCACCTTTCCGCTTCAGTAGCTTCCGTCGATATAAATACCACCGAACACCCATCGACACCTCAGTTCAATCTAAGTAGTAGGCAGATTGAGACCTCAGCGAAAACTCGCGGCGAGACCTGGGAAGTGGGCAGATTGAGGCCCCGGCGTGAAGTCACATCAAATTCTTGAAAATGGCTGCCGAAACGTCGATAACAAAACTCCAGGCGCGGTACAACCCGAACTCAAGGACAACATACTGCTGACCGCGGAAACCTATCCGAACACATATAGATATAGATAACTATATGAAACATTTTGTGGTTAGCACCTGACCTAGAGGTATAATAAAAAATAAAATCAGTAGGAATAAATGAGAAATTATATAATAAAGAATTTTTATATAATTTCTCAATAATTTATTCTATGTTTTGTTGCTTACACCAGTTTATTGAATCCGAAGACGGAGGTTATATCTTGTAGTATATGATGGAACGGCCGATACTTGATGAAAATCCTTAACTAACGTATTCTAAAAACATTTTATTGTGTGATTTTCACTAGACAGTTTTACAAAAAACGCAACACGTGTTTCGCCATACAATGGCTTCCTCGGGCGTGTCTTACTAACTAATTCTACACATTAAATGCCTTATTCTACAATTTGAAGTACCTGAATTTCGAGTACCTGATTTTTTACCTAAGTTTGTAATGAATTTAATTACCAGAGCTTATGTTCCATTTTCCACATTTGAAAAAATATTCAGTAACGAATAGTTATTTAATTCTAATTGATCATTCAGTAAATTACCCGAATTCCTGAATCTATTGATTGCTAAACATTCTAGAAGATTGAGTTTCAAACTCTTCTCTTCTAAATGTAACACATCGTATTCATGATTGAACTCATGTCCTTCTGCTAAAAGATGGTTTCAAATGTGAAATTGGTCTTTTTATACAGTTTTGGACAAGAGCCACAAGTCAGCTTACATACTCCTGATCCATCCAACAACGAAGTTTTGTCTTTATTGTTTTTAATAAATTTACTTAGATTATTATTCATTCTGTAAGCTAAGTTTACGCCTTCTTTCTTCAAAAAACGGGCAATATTTCTGGTTGGTTCACCCAAATATGCCAATGTCCTATAACTGACGTTATCGCATCTTGAATATGGGTAGACCAAGTCCATGGCTTGCTTTTGAAGTTTTTTGATAAGAATGGCGATTATAATATCTACTTTATAACCGTTATTAACCGCGATTTGTTCGATCAAATTCAGCTCTTTCTGGAACTCCCTATCAGACAGTGGAATATTCAATAATCTATGAAGCATACTATTGAATACATCAACTTTATGCTGGTAAAGGTGTGTGGAGGAATTAATGTAATGTAATGGTTAACCATTACGAAAAATGACAATAAACATGAATTTTCAATTTTCCACAAATTGAATGCAGCAACCTTACCAGCATAAAGTTGCTGCATTCAATAGTATGCTTCACAGATTATTTAATATTCCACTGTCTGATAGGGAGTTCCAGAAAGAGCTGAATTTGATCGAACAAATCGCGGTTAATTACGGTTATAAAGTAGATAGGTATTATAAACGCCATGCTTATCAAAAAACTTCAAAAGCAAGCCATGGACTTGGTCTACCCATATTCAAGATGCGATAACGTCAGTTATAGGACATTGGCATATTTGGGTGAACCAACCAGGAATATTGCCCGTTTTTTGAAGAAAGAAGGCGTAAACTTAGCTTACAGAACGAATAATAATCTAAGTGAATTTATTAAAAACAATAAAGATAAAACTTCGTTGTTGGATAGATCAGGAGTATATAAGCTGACTTGTGGCTCTTGTCCAAAACTGTATATTGGCCAAACTGGAAGAACATTTTTGTAAAGAATTAAAGATCATAGAAGTAGTTTTGTAAATAAAACGACCAATTCCACATTTGCAAACCATCTTTTAGCAGAAGGACATCATGAGTTCAATCATGAATACGATGTGTTACATTTAGGAGAGAAGAGTTTGAAACTCAATCTTCTAAAATGTTTAGAATTAAATATATCTCTGTTACTGAACATTTTTTCAAATGTGGAAAATGGAACATAAGCTCAGGTGATTAAATTCATTACAAACTTAGGTAAAAAATCAGGTACTTGAAATTCAGGTACTTCAAATTGTAGAATAAGGTATATATAGTATTCAATATCTAGAATTAGTTATTAAGACACGCCCGAGGAAGCCCTAGTATGGCGAAACACGTGTTGCGTTTTTGTAAAACTGTCTAGTGAAAATCAGACAATGATGTGTTTTTAGAATACGTTTGATATCTTGAAGTGTCGAACGACTGACTAATTTTAATTCAAAAGACGTATAATTCAAATGTTCTCTCTCATATACTTAATCTTGCAGCCATAACAAAAAATAACTGAACTAACTGTGAATTTTATTCACAATTAAATCTAGCACAAGTGTCAAACAGTAACACGATTTTCAAAGCAACTAAGATCAAAATTAAAATAATAATTTCTTGTAAGGTTGAATGTATTTTCGTTATTATTATTGAATGATTTTTTGAGCATTTTGTCACAAAGTGACACTAGTCACAATTCACTAAAGAACACAATTTCATTACTATATGTTTAGATTGACAGTTCAGTGGGTTTTCCATTGTTAATTTATCATATACCTAAAAATTTTGTCACAGTTATTCTGAAGACATTCTGAATTCAGTTGCATAGTGCTAATACAAATCATCCATTTTCAACAAAGAAAAGTTATCTTAGTAGGTACCAATGCCCTAAAAGCTGAAATGAATCTTTTGAATTTTGTCTATAGTAGACCTATCTTTGCAAATAATTGTTGATACATGTTATTGAATAGAATTTTGAGAGGATTTGTCGATTTAAATTTCATTCTGATCATTACCAACTACATTTTTTTCTATCCACGAGTAGTGAAATGACATGCGATAGTATATCGTACAATTCAAATGTCAAGTATTTCCTCAAACACATCTGGAGGCGTTATATTAGGTGATCTCATGGACCATTCTAAAGAACAACGTCTACCTATCTAACGGTATGAATAACTGACGAATCAAAATATGTTTTCACCTGTTGTTACATTGACAGATGGATATCTCATTATTGTGACATTCAAGTTCGAAATTGCCCCGATGACAATTGTCAAAACCGTGGTTTTTCAGAATGGCCCACTAGATCACTTGATATGATGCCCTTAGTTCTTTGTGATATTCGTGAAATCTGAAGTATACGTTATACAACCTTAGTCGAATCTAGATGCTTTCAACGAAAGTAACTCGGGAAGTTTTTAAAAATGATTTTGTAAACATACTTTCATCGGGAAGTATTTGATTATCATTTTGAATATTTTTTGGGATAAACTGAAGTGAGTTTTGAGTACATTTCTCTTGAAATAAACATATTTCTTTCTTCGTTTGTAGATTTTCAAATCTAATATAAAACTGTATATCACTAAGGAACGGCTGATTTGATTAGTGTATTTCAGAATTGAAATACGAGGTATCACATGACACCAATTTCTATTTAAAAAAAGATGGTGGGGTCGTCTCATCGATGAGTGATGAAACAATATTGTCTTCCTCCCCAAAAAGTACTAAAAATAATGCATTTGCACGAAAATTTTGTTTGATCTTTTGATATCCATCCCGTTCAGAAATTGAAGGGGGTGACTTTCTACATCTACATTGTACCTATACAAAATATTGATAGATGCTTGTAGGGGATGATATAACTAATCCAAAAGAATATCAATCATGAGAACTGCAATGTAGTTGAAGAAGGACACACATTGCTAATCACTATTAGATTAACTTTTAATGAATAAGCCATTTCAATAATTGTACCTTTTCCATGTTATAGAGTTACTCAGGTATTTATCGAGTCATTGGAAAAATTTGCAAGTTCTGCTTAATAATTGGAAAAATCTAGGTAGGTACTTCAGTTACTGAGTATGTGTAATAGAGGTTTTTTGTTTTTATTGGGGTGATGAATGGTTTCACCATTATTTTGTTATAAAATGTAGAATATTCCAATCAATTCTTTATAGGATTATTTTATATTTTTACGAATTTTTCTGCAGTAGGTATATTCAAAGAATAAAATTATTAATTGAAAAGTTTGTTCAGTATGAATAATGGATCAGTATCATACTTTGATAACTGACGCTCAATCAAATCGTACATATTCAAAAAAATACAAAATGTGAACTAGCGATGGCTTGAGAAAATCAATGTACATTATATTCCCTTATGTTCAACCGGATTTTCATTTAATTCAAAGTGAAGATTGTTGAGATCCTTCTATATTTTTCCTTACTCTGTTCGATTACCATTCCGGACCGACTTGGCTCTCTTCATCTTTTTCGGTTTTTTCGTGCAAACGTAACAACACACCCGCCAATATAGAAATCTGAACGACGTCGCCATAATATCGCCGATATTCGATAAACAAAGTAGCATTAACGGAATTCCCAAGATGGCGTAAAATATTGTAACGACTTTTCCCCATGTCGTTTTCGGGGCGATATGGCCGTACCCTGAAAAAAAACAATCGTTTCAAATTGATTTCAAATCAAGTTTGTTTGGGAAATGATTTTCTTCCGTCTGTGCATACTCTAACGTTTTGTTGGTGTAGGCAGAATTTGGAAAATAGAAATGAAATAAGAAAAAACGTTCTTCTCTCAGGAAGTTCCATATATGAAATACAATGGCTTTCAGATCCAAGTCAAAAATCTACGGATATGTCTTGTCTCGAATAATGAGAATTAACAAATAATTACACAATAAGTTCGAATCAGTCACAATAAATCAAAGACAATTCTTTCAATATTCAAGCAGTAATTACACAGAGAAATACCTATAGTCGAAGGACAGTCTTTGCTGATTTGTTAACAACAAAACGTGGAAAATATCTCTGGGTGATCAGCACAACGAAAGTGTACTCTTATAACACAAGTTATTTCAATATATCGAAAAAATGTAACATCATATTCAAGGAATAGCTACAAAATTTATATGATGGTAGTACAATATAAAAATTATCACACTATTAAAAATGTCTGTAAAATTACAAATGTATTACAAAACAGATGATCATTTAAATTACAAATCAGTGTGTTGCCAATATAATATTCAATATGATTTGAGTAATTTACCAAAAAATATTTGGAATCCTACTAAACTGAGTAGTGATTTCACAATCATCATCAAATAATCCTGAACTTATTGTAATTTTACCAAACCTTAAGTCAGTTTTGAAAGAAAGTTTTTTGAATTTACAAATATCATTTGTGAATTGATTCACTTTAATTTATTGTAAAATTATAAAAAAAAAGTTGGAATTGGAATTTAAATGAAGTCATAAGAATTTTACAAAAACTATTAGTATTTCCAAAATTTGCTTAGTAACTGGGCCAATAGTTTCCATTTTTCTCACACGTATTGTAGTTATACTGAATCGTTATTAAATTTTTCATAAAAAGTTTTCGAAATGTTCTACTATTATTTGTAAATTAATTCATTTGAATTTTATGTGAATTGATGAATTATTTTTGTAACTGGAATAACTATGAAGTCATCAAAAGTTTATGAATAATTTCAGTATTTTAACAACTTTCATTTGCAAACTATATAGTGCTTTGTAATTTGGCCAATAATTTTCATTTTTCTCACATGTATTGTAATTATACTGAACCGTTATTGAATGTTACATAAAAAGTTTTCGAAATGTACGAATATCATTTGTAAATTAAATCACTTACGTTTTTTGTGAATTAATAAAATATTTTTATGATTGGAATAAATATGAAGTCATCAAAATTTTACAAATACTTTTAGTATTTTAACAACTTTTGTTTGCAAATGATATAGGGCTTTGTAATTTGGCCAAAAATTTTCATTTTCCTTACACTTATTTTAATTATACTGAACCGTTATTTAATTTTTCATAAAAAGTTCTTGACAGTCACAAATATCATTTGTAAGTTTTTCACTGCAATTTTTTGTGAATTGATAAAATATTTTTTTAACTGTAATTACTATGAAGTCATTGAAATTTTACAAATACTTTCAGTATTTTAACAAATTTCGTTTGCTGATTATAGAGTACTTTGTAATTTCACCAATATTTTCATTACAATATTAGATTTGCAAAAAAGTATATATATATCGTTGCACGTATTGGTCGCAATGCCATAGTATAATTTTTAGTACAGAAATGTCAGTCAGTGAAAGTTAGTTAGTTAGTCAGTTAATCACTAATGATTTTCGTTGTCAATTGAATCATGTGTACTCGTATGAATAGAGATTCCGTTCTCACTCGAAACAAATGAATATTTACGAATTCTAGGGAATTTCCACTAATTCATGCGTTTTATATATATCAGAAAAAACCATCGCGAATTTGATTGGCGACAATATTTGAATTTTGTTAACACTAACAATGATTTGAGGAAATGGATACGATGAATGAATCGTTGCGATAGATTGGGGGTCTTAACTTTAATCGCAAGTTGGAATCGTAATCACAGCTATTTTTTTGTATTAGTATATTGTTTTATGTGAACATACCTTTCAACGCGTGTTAGAAATCACGCGTTAGGGCACTGCGAACTCTGTCATTATTTACTTCAAATTGCCTTAACATTTTTGAAAAAGTTGGTTGAAAAAGTGAAAAAGGTACACTTCCTCAACAACGCTGAGGTGATCGTTTTCTTGCTGAAACCATTACAAAAATTATGAGTATGTGGTGGATCTCGTCAAAATAAACAACTTTTTCCTATAAAATATGTATCGAAAAATCATTTGTTTGGTTTTCGTCATAGGTTTTTTGCAATTTTAGTTACTTTCATCAAACTTTATAGGCAGTATACCCGGACAGACTTCTTCTAAACTGACCATTATTAAACTACCTAATCAATCCAAACTGAAAAAAATTGAAATTTGATTAATTAATTAGAAAATGCTTCATTTCGGAGTTTTTGAAAATAACAATTCAGAGCATTACTGTGTTATTTATTAGGCAAATAAACATATAAAAATTAAACGAAACAACTATTAGAACAACTGTTGGAAGTGACGACTCCCAACAGCAATACAAGCTTCTGCTCTCTTCATCAAATGATTCCGTACCCGTTGAAAAATACCGGTAGAGTTTCTTATCGTTTCGCAGTAAGCTATGATGCGATATGCGATCCCTCAACATTTCCTTGTTTTCAATGGGACTAGCAAAAATTTGTAATTCGAAGTGTTCCCAAAGAAATCGACGGCATTGAGATTCGTAGACCTCGGTGGCCAATACTGAGTGCTTCCTGTTTCTATCCATCGCTTGGGATATGCTACGTCTGAGACATTTCATGCTATCACACTAAAATGAGCAGGGGCTCCATCGTGCATAAACCAAGAGTGATTTCGGAGGCCAATGGGAACATCTTCCATAAGCTGGGAAAGCTCGCATTCCAAAAAATTTAGGCAAGCATCTCCATTCAAACGTAAGGGAAGAGGGTCCAATTTGATAATCCCCAAGTATGCCTACCCATACATTAAAAAAAATTTGTTTTGGAAATGAATCTGCGTTATCGCAAGTGGGTAATCACCATTTCTTGAAAAATTAGCCTCATCTGTGAGGAGGATTTTCGATTACATTTGGGGATGTGGTTCGATTTTTCTATAGAGCCTTGAGGAAATTCGATACGTGGCTGAAAATCATGTAACGTAAGTGCCTGGATACGCTCAATATGATAAGGATATAATTGCTGTTTCTTTAAAATTTTGTAAGAAGTTTGACTAATTTTTTTTTGTACTTTTGTCTGAATGTTCACTAATTTCTTCGAGAACCACCTTCTACAATTCCACAATTCTTGTTGTTCCTGGCCGTCCTACTGCTAAATTTCTTTCGAAGCTTCCAGTTTCGGAAAGTCGCCGGAAAAGATTCGCAAATGACCCTGCACAAGGAGTCACTCGTTGGAGATGCAAAAACCAAATCAGCCACTTCAGCATTCGTAAAGTCGGACATGGTACCAAAAAATCACTTTATGAACTTCGAAGTGTGAATTTGTCAATGAATAGTTGAAAATGTGACAACGAACTTCTATTTTGATAAACAAACGTTCATAGCCTCTTCGATTGAATTAACTTAATTTGCGAAATTCAATTTTAACAACCTGTATCCGGACTCGAATTTATATATAGCTGTTGAAAAACTTCTGTTGAAAAACGTGTGTAAAAATTTAAATCAATAAAATATAATACTGAACTGTTTAAACATTCGAAAACTCTTCAAGATCTTTTGGAAATAAAGTCATTCCATGTAATCATTTAATAATATGTTTCAGATTGTTATGGTATCCATCAGTTTTCAATTTTAATGTAAGTCTACTAACTCAAGTTACAAATACTATACTTTATGTTAACAAATTGATGCATTTATAGAAATTTTATTTTCTAAAAAATTGTTTGATTTTCTCAGCAGGAGAAATTAACGGATTATGAGTTACTCGAAAAGGTAACTGTTTCAAGTCCCGTATTGATGGTAAGAGATGCGTAACAATTCCATTTTTCTATAAAGTTAGTTCCTTTTTACTATTGAGTAAGTTTTATCAAAATTGATGTATGTTTGAAGGTGTTTCATAATGTTTCATTGTGAATTTCATCAGTTCGGACTTCCACTGTCTAATATGATATAAAATGATTTGAAATCACTGAAAGAACAAATAAAAATGAAAATTAAAGTAGATAGCTGAAAATAACAATTATATTAAGCAAAAAACCCTGAAATGGAATTACAATAAAATAAAATACAACCACCAATAGAAAATTGAACCATTAAAATGAAATGAAAATTTCAAAGATTTCATGCCAAGTTACTTCACGACGTTTCGAATGTCAGTATTCACAATCGATTTCGGCTGATGAGTCATCATCCAAAGATGATTGTTGATACTAACAATCGAAACTTCGTAAAGTAACTTGGCTTGAAATTTTTTAATTTTATTCGCATATTCCCCATAAATTGGGGAAACACTCGAAGAAATTAAACGATGAGTGTTAAAAACTGTGCTATTCTCTAGATTTTTGATAATTCCAACACTCTTTTTTGTAAACAACAGTTTTATTTTTCATTTTTCGATTAATTCAACTCTACATTTTGAATGTTCCTACTGTTGACAATTGATTTTAAAGATAATTCATTTTCGCTATCTGAATAATTGAAGTTTCCAATCTTAAGCGATTCATAATTTGTTTGTACATATTTCTTGCGAAAAAGCTTCACATAAGACTTTATGGATACTGCATTGATAAAAAATTCCACTCGAATCATATCACTTTTGTCTCAGGACAATTTATATAATTCAATTTTTTTTCCTCTTTTGCTTGCGATCAATTTGTGAATGATTTTGAATGTCAGATTCTTTCGGGAAATGTGTCCTCCCAAAAGTACAAAGCGGGGCGGAAAAAGAAAAGCAACCAATATCCATCCTAAAGGCAGCAAGCTGATAAAAGAGATGGATCCATATATTGCTGATGAATCGCATTAAATTGTTATTTTGATATGATTATGTATTTTTTATATTATACATACATACTACATAATTATCATTCACTAATACGATATAATTTATATTTTGTATAATACTTAATATAATCTTTCATTTTTTACTAAGTTCATTGTTAATATTTGACTGAATAACTTACCTTAATTTTTACTTTGTACCTAATGTATATTACGTTAAGTTTGATTTATAATACAATATAATCAAGTTTTATTTAATAAACTATTTTGTTGATCAAGAAAATAATAAATTATTATTTGGTATCTTATATTGCTAAAAAACTTTGAGTTAAAACTTTGGATTTATCAACTATTAGTAAACATCTCCAATTTATGTTTTTGGCTTTCTACTACTCCATCTGATACAAAAAAAGGGATGAGAGAATCTTCCAAAGAAAGGAAGGAAGTAATCAATTTGAAACTCTATACATGCAAAGAAGTAACTTTCAGACACAAACTGAAAGAAAGTCCTCCTGAAACAGCTACTTTCATATAAACATTGAATTACACGAAAGAAAATAATTCTTTCGAAACAAATACTTCTATATGAACACTGAATTATACAGAAGATACTTTTCTCTATTCAGTTTGTATTTCAAACATTTGTTGTGGAATAAGAATCAGATATCATTCACATGAGTTCTACTTTCTTTCCCAAAAAATTAATCACATCTAAACATATAACTCCTTCAATTCATCTCCAATTAAATTGTTTAAGATCTTCAATTAGAGCACTACTATAAGTCAAGCAGTAAAATAATATGCTTTATTTGTAAATCAATGAAGAATTTAAAAAAACTTATTTAAGAAAATCACAGTGTTCATATTTAGTGAATTCGCAATGCAGCATTTCAAAATTACAAATTTTTCCACTGAATTCGTTCAACAAAATTACAAAGTTTGTATTGTGATATTACAAAACAAACGTTAAATATATATTCACTAAAAATGCAACCGATGTTTTATAATTTTTCGAAACTATGTTAAATTGAATGCGTTGTAAATTTGGGATGCAGTATTTTAAAATTACAAATAAATTTTCACCAAATTTGCTTAACAAATTCACAAATATTGTGTTGTAATAATAGAAAACAAACTATCATCAAATGTTTACAAAATAAGCAACAAATTTTTTGTAATTTGTGTTGTATTATTACAAAACGATTGCCCACTAAATGCTTACAAAAAAAACAACAAATACATTGTTATTCTCTAAAACAAAGTTAAACTGATTTCGTTAGTAAATTCACAATGCAGCATCTTGAATTTGAAAATCATTTTCTACTAAATTTGCTTCAAAATACATAGTTAGTATTGTAATAAAACCATACTCATTTCAGGTGTAAGTTTACTAAAAATTCTGTTTTTTTTGTAATTTTTCTAAATTGATTCGAAATAAATCGTGTAGTAAATTTACAAAATGTGATTCTATTATTTAAAAAAAAGTTATGCGCTAAAACGTCCAAAGCATTTTTTGTAAATATAGTATAGAACTTTTTAACAGTCCATGAAAAGTCTCAAACTTACTGTTAGTGAGGATGGCCATATCGAAAAGAATGTTAAAATCGTCAACTGCTTCAAAATCATGGATTACCGGTAGAAGCCATTTGGTTGAAGAACGAAGAGAAATACGACAAACAATTGACAATGACAGCTGTCATGTGATTCTGTTTGCAAAAGTGTGTTAGTGTCGATGATAAAACTATGAAACAAAGGAGAACTGTTATGGTGCAAGTGTGATCAGAGACATCTGCTGTTCTATGAGTAAATCTATGAGAAAATCCAAAAATCAAATATGTCCAATTTAATATTAATTAATTGACAACACCCTTATTAGTTTTGAGAAAAACAAGTGAAGAGGTGTTGTTGAATAAAAGTAAAACCCTGCCATAGGGAGGTTGGAAATTTGTTTAAAAACAATTTAAATGTTATGAATGATATTAATGAAAAAACAGAATTATTACTGGTTTGGAAATCATGTGAATTTTTGTCAATGTCTAATAGGAAGGTATAGATTTCACTGAGGTGATCGATGTCTGATCTTCTATTGAGGTAATTATTTGATGGTAATATAAATGAAATTTCCAAAAATAATATTTTAGATGTATTTCATTTGATAAATTTTTATGTCACTTTCATGTGAACTGATTCTGTCTTTGAGTAGTCTTGACGTTTGACCAATATATTCCCTACCACAATTTAAACATGGATTGGAATAGATTAATTGAGATTGAAAGTTAATAGGAGTTCTATCTTGAAGTTTCGAAAATAATTTATTAATGATTAATATGGTTCTGAAAGCTATTTTTACATTTGAATCTTTGAAAATTCTACATAACTTAGATATCATATCACTTATATATGCTGATAAAGAAGAGAAAAGTATGGAAATTGGAGATGGATAACAAAAATATGAATATGTTTTTCCTAATTATTTATCAATAACTCTCACCCAGATCCTATACTTAAGAATATCTTATTTAGTACGTCAACCATTGATATTCAAATCAACAATAACAACCAGTTGGATATAAATCCTTTACAGTCTGACAACTCTACAATTGAGGCTAATTCACCTCCAGTTCCTATATTTTTCTCATCTTTACCATATGTAAGTGATATGACACCTAATTTATGTAGAATTTTTAAAGATTCGAATGTAAAAATAGCTTTCAGAACCATATTAACCATTAATAAATTATTTTCGAAACTTAAAGATAGAACTCCTACTAACTTTCAATCTCAATTAATCTATTCCATTGCATTCTTAAATTGTGGTATGGAATATATTGGTCGAACGTCAAGATTACTCAAAGATAGAATCAGTTCACATAAAAGTGATAGCTGATTACATCTTGAGATATGTGCTTTTAGTAATCATGTCTCCAAAGAAGGTCATGAAATGAACTATAATTCAACTAAAATTTCATCAACTGAAAGAAATACATCTAAAAGATTGTTTTTGAAAATGTCATGTATCTTAACAGTAGGATTTCTGACTGGCCACTGTCAACTAAGGAAACACCTCCATAGTAGGGGGCTAGTGGACAAACCTCTATGCAGGATGTGTGAAAAGGAAAATGAAACTACCAGGTATGTCTTATGCGAGTGTAAGGGGTTATCTTCAATAAGAGAGTGTCTGTTCGGCGAGTCTTGGCCTACACCTGCCGATATAAAGGAAATGTATCCTAGTGACCTGTTCAGCTTCCTGGAAAGGACAGAATGGGCGATGGCCTAGGAGGACAACTCCTCAGAAGGATGGACAATAGGTTACATGTGGTCTAAGTGATGTAGGCCTACACTCAGCCTCCCTACTCTTGAGATACAGATACCTCCCAAGCGAAAGGTCACAAGATCCCCTTTTCTATTTGAGAAAAAAAGTTGATAGAGCCATCTCTGCATCAAGTACTGAAAATGTTTATTTTTAAATAAATGTCTGAGGACTATTTACATCCGAACTGTATACGCAATTTTTCCAGATCCGAAACTCATATGTAAACGTAAGTGGGTGTTTTTTATAAAGGTATATAAATTTAAGTTGTCAACACTTTTTTGACTAGCGGCTATTTTATCATCTGTCAAGTGAGTTCTTTTCAGTTTGGTTTGGCATTTCAACATGAATAGACTGACGCCTGTACAATGCTTCGATTTCTGAATTTATTTTGAAAATCATGGTTGGGTTCAAAATATATTACGTTCATTTGAAGGTCCATCAGAACAATTAATTCGATTAAATAATGTACGTTTTCGCACCACGTTTACTATATATGATAATACGCATCCACAGAGACGTCGTACAGTGCATACAGAAGATTTCTTATGTATGCATTTCTGAATTTATTTTGAAAATCATGGTTGGGTTCAAAATATATTACGTTCATTTGAAGGTCCATCAGAACAATTAATTCGATTAAATAATGTACGTTTTCGCACCACGTTTACTATATATGATAATACGCATCCACAGAAACGTCGTACAGTGCATACAGAAGAAGTAATTGCTGAGCTGTAGAGCGTATCGTAGAGAAAGGCCCGAATCAATCTATCCGCCATCGTGCACAGGATTTGGAAATGTATCCATCCACTTTATGGAAGATATTGCGGAAAGATCTTGGTTTGCGTGCTTACAAAACCCAACTTGTGCAAGAATTGAAGCCACACGATCACCTAGCAAGGCGTAGATTCGGTGAATGGGCCCAAAACAAGATTGCCGTTGATCCCGATTTTCATAAGCGAATTTAGAAATCGTTGTTACATCCAGGAAAACTGACTGTTTGGTGTGCCTAATGGGCTGGTAAAATCATTGATTCATATTTTTTATAAAAACGAAAATCAGAACGTTACAGTCAATGGTGATCGCTATAGAGCAATGATTATCGAATTTTTGTTCGTCAACTGAACAACCATGATGTGCAGAAATATGTGAAGTCGCTAGTCTACGCCTATGAGACCGAAACGAATGACCACACCACACGTTATTGCCGACACCTAACCATACGACCACAAATGTGGAAAAAAGTCATCGAAAATTGGACCTCCAGATTAGACAACGTCCAAACCAGCGGTCATATGCCCGAAGTCATATTCAAATCATAATGTCAGAAAATTATCTTTTGAATGAAGTAAATTGCATGTCAGTTTGAAAATCCACCTTCGTTTTATTCCAAATCAAAGTTTTACTCCTCTATAAAAACACCCTCTCGTCCCGGATTTTTTTATGCTAGTTTTAATTCGTAAAATATTTTGTACATGAACTGTATTCATCTTCGTAAACAATTATCATAGTTATTAGTTATTTTATAAAAAAATCAGTGTTAGGAATCACTCCTGATCGGTCGGTAGACAAGCGGTTCGCCGTGGGTGATTTGTTCACCCACTCGAATTGATTGCCCTGTTGGTCGGTGGTTCAAGCCCTAGTCTGAACGATCGATCTTCACTTGCTATCGTCCAACCCGTGTTAGGAATCACACGTTAAAAGGTAAGACCACGTTAATCCTTAGCTCGCACAAGTTTCGACTTCTGAGGGTTGTCGTTCGTAGGAGTGCGACAGCTGGTTAACGGAAAAACAGATTTTTTTTCTCGTTAAAAGGTAAGACCTCGTTAATCCTTAGCTCGCACAAGTTTCGTCTTCTGAGGGTTGTCGTTCGTAGGGGTGCGACAGCTGGTTAACGGAAACACAGATTTTAAACTGATTTTAAACAGGAACTATTTCATCACATACAAGATTATCGTACGAAACGAGTGAATTCTTTTCGAAATTCAATTCCAGTGTGCAGTTTATTCAAATAACACATATTTCATTATTCTTCAAAGCAATGTCCAGTCTGACCATCGCTTCATTTCATCAATGTAAATCCATGACTAATTAATATGCATTCGAACTTGAAGTAACAAATACAGTGCCAAATCAAATAGTTTCAGACAGATCCATCCGGTTTTGCAAAAAAACCTTCAAGATTTTCAGGGCCGTCACAGATTTGTAAGCAAATATGTGTAATTTCCAAAATCTTTGTAGATATTCCAATGTTAATTATTCATTATTGTTTTTGTGGAGGTTGAAACTTGCGAAATAACTGTAATGGGTCATTGTTTACCTGTTCATTCATTCAATTTTAATGAAGCTATGATGGGATTAGTTGCAAGGATGTGTGATGAATTTAGTTTGATAAAATTTATTATTTTGAATTCCATGATAAACTTCTACCAATCAATTCAACTGATATAAATGATTCGACTGTCTTACTTCGTGAGCTGAAAGAAGTTATTGCTAGAAAAGAGTAGTAAATCAGTATAGTGGAAAGGTCACGTATACGTTTACCAGTCAGCTCACTAATGCACCCCAAAAAAAAATTCACATGCTCCATTTTTCAACAATTTCTGATATCCACATTGTTTTCTCTGAAACGGTAAAGAACTTTGCTAGACTATTATGAAATTTGCTTGTTATAAAGGCTTTTCGTTGAAATCAGAAAACGGCGTTTAAAAACGAGTCTCCATTTGCAAAATAACGAAAATTCATATGTCAATTCTCACACTCACACACCAAAGATTTTGTCAACAAAGAGGCCTGAATAAAATTATCATTTGTTGAGTGATGTTTGCAGAGAGACAGAAAGCAATTCCGCATCTGACGGCTTGCTTTAAAGTATTCTTCGTAACATATTACCATCAGAAACTTTCGTTCACCTCTCAGAAAAGGGATTCCGTATAGTTTCTTCGTGAAGAAAAATGCTTACTTTATTCAATATTTGGTAACAGGTGAAAAGGAAAGGTTTGTCTTGAATTTGAAAGAAATGAAGAGTATCCTCGAAGGTTGTGAAAAATATCGCTAGATAAATAAGCCATGAAATTGTTTAGAATAACGTTATGCCTAACCAGAAGTAAACTCTGTAAGTTCATTTCAATTATATTTTCCGTCAATAGGACTCAATTTGAATCATTCGTTCCGATAACTTGTTTTTCTATTGTCTGGTTTTTGAAAGTAATTGGTATCATCGTGACATCATGGAAAGTTCATGAAAGGTAGAACTGGAACCTCTGGCGTAGAATAAATCCAAAACATGGAATGTTTCTTCTAAGATCAGGCATGG